GTTTATATCGCAACGTCGACCAAGAAAGAAAAGAATTTGAAAATATATGAAACGTCTCACACCACTACTTTACTGCTTAAGGTTCCTGTGCGAATGACCATAAGTCAAAAACCACAATATTTATAACCACAATGTTTATATCGCCAAGGTCGATTTATACTTATTGTTATAATTTCTCGTTGAAATATTCTATGAGTGATTGCCGATTAAGAAAATTTAAAGCATTGATCGAAATTTATTTAATTCCAATAAGTATCGTTATGTAAATTATTATAATAAGCATCAATAATCGAAAGATCATAACAAAATTAATTCTTTTATATATCCCTCTCTCTCTCTCTCTTGTTTCAATTTTAATTCATAGTAATTAATCACTGTCATTTGGTAAAGATATATCGTTGCGATACAGTTTCATGTCCTTCATCATAAGTTAATTAAATTATAATTATTAATAGTTATATCATATAATGTTTCAATACTAATTTCAATCGTATTTAGAAAAAATATTCGACAATATGCGAAACGTTTCGGACATTACTTTATTGCTCGAGTATCAGTGTGAATGATAACGAAGTCATAACATATAATAAATATGAAAATATTAAATTGTAGAAGTTTTCCAATTTATAGATTAATTAAATGATTATTTATTATACATTTAATTAACATACGAAGCATTTCGCATCATTATTTTAGATATTTTCCTTAATGAAAATAAAACTACGCCACAAAATATCGCAAAATATTGCAATATATAAATAAATCTAAACTATCCTTAGATATAGAATAATACTCTGCGCCCCAAGATATCGCAAAATATCGTAAAATATCGCATTGTAATTAAATCTATACTATTCGTAGATAATTAATATTACACTGCGCCCATAAATATCGCAAAATATTGCAAAATATCGCAATATAAATAAACCTAAACTACCCCTAGATAGAGATATTACTTTATGCCCACAGATATCGGAAAATATCTAAACTTTACTGCTGGAATGTCATCAAGCAAATGATAGCAATACCATAATGTACAAATAATAGCACGCTATTGTTTACGTCGTCAAAATCGAACATAATATTATTGATAATTTGTTCCCGAAATATTTTATATACTGTAAAATATACAAGATCGGAATATTAAATTATAGAAGTATTTTAATTTATTGATTAAAATTGATTATTCATTAAATATTTCATTACGGAGCTAATTATTTGAATTTACTCGATTGTTTTATCACGCTTTTCCGAATTCAAATTCTATAATATTTAATTTTGCATTTTAAAAGACCCATTCGAGCAATCGATCGAATTCTAACCGATTCGACCCGAATCACTTGACGAAGTAGAGCGTGACCATCACTAAGTCGACTTGAGCACGAAGCTCGATAATGCGAAAATATTACAATGCGAAAACGCGATGACGAATCGTCGCGGTCTGCAGCACGTTGACGGCATCGACGACGCGAAAGGATAGCTTCCCCTTCAGGCTCCTTAAATTTATCATAAATAGAAAAATTTAAGATAAAACTCAAGGCACCATCCAAGTACTAAGTCCTCCCACCGCGACAAGGTGCACCCTATGGGAGGGTTATATTATATAATATAATATATAATTTGGAATTTATCTAGTAATAAAATATACAAATTTAAATTCACATAACAAGACCGTAAAACAAAATCATCAGCTCACTGTTGCCAAGGTAGGATATTAGGATAATTCATTGTGGAAATATTTGAACATGTTAATGTATCTTATATATCTAACATATTAATGTATCGTAAGATTAAAAGATTAAATTAATATATATATATATATATATATATATATATATATCGTGATATATAACTATTGTATAATTAACAAGGATTGCCGATTAAAAAAAATTTAAAGCATTGGTCGAAATATTAATTTCATAATTAATTATAATATTTTTAAAGAAATATCATTATAATAAGTATTAATGATCGAAAGATCATAACATAATTAATTCTCTTATCCCCTTTTATATATTTCCTATTTCAATTTTTATTCGTAGTAATGAATGATTGCGATTCGATAAAGATTTATCGTTGCGAAACATTTTTATGTCGTTTATCAGAAGTTAATTAATTTTTAATTATTAATAATTATAACAAATTATGTTTCGATACTAATCGTAGTCGTGTTTAAATTACAATATACGAGGCGTTTCGCACCACTACTTTATTACTCGAGTGTCCCCGTGCGAATGATGACGAAGCCCTAACATAGCGCGTTATTGTTTACATTTTATATTGCCAAAGTCGAACATCGTATTATCGATAATTCGTTGCCTAGATATTTTTTATATTATAAAATATACACTAACGCGGAATATTAAATTATAGAAGTATTTTAATTTATTGATTAAAATTGATTATTTATTAAATAATTCATCATGGAACTTTATGCATAAAATATCTAAATAATATATTATTGTGAAGCAATTTATAAAATATTACTATCTCTATAAAAGTATTAATTAATACGAGAACATTTTATAGATATTTTAAGTATATTAAAATAAAATCTAGAATATTTTATATATTATACTAATGTAATTTAAAAATTTAAACAGTTTAGATAATTTAGAATGAGAGAGAGAGAGAGAGGAAAAGAGAGAGAGAGAGAGAGAGAGAGAGAGAGAGAGAGATTCGTAATATAAATAAATAAAATGAATTATTGAATGAATAAAATAAATAATTGCAGACCCGAGATAACATCACATAAACAGAATCATTAATACTGAAATTGAAATAGGCGTCAAAACACATCATAAAGTAATTATTGACGACAGCTGTGTTTCATAAAATTTCGCCGTCTATTGACGACAACAATTGATGGTAGTTAAAGAATTAGCTATCTATTGATTTTAATACTCTGTTGTTGCAATACAGGGAAAATTAGATCAAACTCCAAATTTTTTTTCGAAAGTATTATATTAGAAGTGACATTAAAAAGATGATTTATTGAATTCAATAAATATTATCAAACTGATATAAATAAATTATAGAGGAATAAATTTTAAACCGATATTAATATTGGAATGTTTGATCTTTATGATATTTCATTAAACATTCGACATACATATTTTTGTATCTTATGTAAGATTTGCGCTTTAATGTATTAATTAATATTAACTATTCTGTAAATTCATAAATATTAACACATACGATTGTAATTTTCTTTCAAGCCTTTTTTTTAGCCATTATGTTTTAGAGCTCCTTCCTATTTCAAATTATATATATAAATCTTTGTATGTACTAATATTATTTTTAAAGAGAATAAATTTTTATAAATTTATAAATATTTGTAAAAATGTATATATTATTGTTCATCCATTTAAAGAAAACATTATATAAACACTTGTTGAAATTATTAAAAATATTCTTATGCAGAATGTCTCTTTAATAATACAAAAACATTTTTGGAAATAAAAATGTATCATTTAATATATGAATGGACTGAATGAGTCACAAGAGGAGACCGGTTAATATCAATTAATTATTTTCAATATTATTTAACAAAATGTGTTTAACGTGTTTATCTCAATTTTTTGGAAATAAAGCAATTGATTTATAGCGAGAAAAAGAGAAAATTTAGTTTTATGCACTAATGCACACTAGTGCATTATAAAGGTTATCATATATAAAATTACAGTAGTATAATTTAAATAATAAAGTAATTAATACTATAAGTTGTTATAATATATTATAATATTATAAAGTTATATAATATATAATATATAATATATATTATATAATATATTATATTAATATTATAAAGTTGTATATAAGTTGTATATAAGTTATTATATAAGATTATTTAGTATAAATAACGATAATAATAATAATAAAGCTCGTAGAATTAATTATTTTATTTATTTTTGTTATTTATACAATTTACGTGCTATTGTATATTTATTGTACATTTATTTATATTAGCGTAAAAACGCTGCCGTGTTACGTATCGCTTGATTCAAAATTCATTATGTGAATAGAAAACGTGTAAATCACTTTTTTAAGTCCATTATTATTTTTCTTATAATCAGAATATTTTTTTATATAATAAATGTTTTTCTTATGCCAAAGAGAAGGTTATGTAAAAATAAATTAATATAAGAAGTTAATAAGATAAAGTTTAATAAAATTTATTAAACAGTTATATGTATATAAATATATTTATTTATATATAGAATTATTTTTTGTTTTATATATATATATATATATATATATATATATATATATAAATTTGTCTTATATATAAATAAATTTTTTGACAAACAATTCTTAAGGATTTAAATTTCTTTTGAAATAACGAGTATCTTCGCGGAAAAAAATAAATTACAAACGGAATGGAGCTAATAAAATGTCATGGTAACAGATCGGATTGACCATTCGAAGTCAGTTACTACTGTGATCGCTAGCTAAACGCCGCCACGGTTATTTATCGCTTGATTCAAACAGTATTATATAAAGATTAGAGAAACCGTGTAATTGTGTATAAATAGTGGATTTTAAAAAACATAGCACGTAGTAACACAATCGTACGAACGAATTGTCATAATTACATATTTAATAACAGATATAGCAAATACTGAGTGAATTCGATTATACGCTGCGTGTACTTGAATATGGCTGAAAATGTTACAAGATCTATAATTCTATAATTTCTTAAATTGTTTGTAATTTTATTGTGGTTATCTTTTTATTGGCTGCTTTTCTATTAATGAAAAAGAAAAGCTAATAATAATTATATTCCTGTATTCGCGATACAATCCAATGAATATGTACCATAGAAATTATTTACTCACTCAGAATTCTTTAATTTAATCTTAAGATATATACTGTGATCATGATCATAAAGAGAAATCTAAAAACATAATATTAGAAGATAATAACTTGCGATTCGTTAAAACAGACTTTTAAAGAATTTATTGAAAATATATGTATTTATGTAAATTAATATCAATTCGATTTACACATCAGAATTAGTAGAGTGAAAAAAACAATTAATTGAGGGTTGAAACTGATTGAGTGCAAACGTTTACTAAAAATGCAAATTATGTTTGGAACAATTTTATACGTTTTATTGAAAAGTTTAATATTGACAAAGGCAACTATCGCGCCGAAGGATGATAACACTTCAAACATCCTTCAGGAAGAGAGTATTTCCATGTATCAGGATATAAATTTCACGCAGGTAGGAGATATTTTTCTTGATTAAGAAACAATTGAATGTTATTGCAGCTAGTAATGTGACTAAAAATGAATGAATAAATTATATATTCTATTTATATAATAAGATAAAATAAAATAAAACAATTCTCAATATAAAAGTAAAAAATATATATGATGTTGTAAAAAACAGATGGATAAAGTTTCGAAATTTTGTTTACAAATAAATGTTATATAGTATATTAAATTTAATTAAAACAATTTCTTTCCCCCCCCTCTCTTTCTCTCTCTATATACAGGGTGTTCAAAAAGTCCCGGTACGAGGGAATAACTCGAAAAGTAAGGGTCAGACAAAGAAACTTTTCGGACAAAAGTTGTAGGGCTTACTCCGAGCTTTTATCTCGTGACCTTGAGTTTGACCTTGAGCTTGACCTTCAAGGTTATTTGAAGGTCAAAGTGTTTTTTTAAAATGGGAACCCCTATTTTTGATTGTATATTCTTATAGCTGACCTCGAGAGCTTTCCAAAACACTATAATAAAATATTTTTCCCTCAAGCATTTATCGAGTTATGAGGCTTCAAATCATTTCTTAATTTTACATAAACCGTAAAATATCTTGTAAAATATTCACTTTTCGATTATTTTACCTTAATACTTTTATGTACAAAATAATGAGAGGAATCAATTGGTCTAAAAAAAAACACATAATTGTTCCGAAGAAAAAATATGTAATTTGCAATTAACAATTACATATTTTTTCTAAAAAACAACTGTATGTTTTCATTACACTAATTGATTCCTCTCATTATTTTGTACATAAAAGTATTAAGGTAAAATAATCGAAAAGTGAATATTTTACAAGATATTTTATGGTTTATGTAAAATTAAGAAATAATTTGAAGCCTCATAACTCGATAAATGCTTAAGGGAAAAATATTTTATTATAGTGTTTTGGAAAGCTCTCGAGGTCAGCTATAAGAATATACAATCAAAAATAGGGGTTCCCATTTTAAAAAAACACTTTGACCTTCAAATAACCTTGAAGGTCAAGCTCAAGGTCAAACTCAAGGTCACGAGATAAAAGCTCGGAGTAAGCCCTACAACTCTTGTCCCAAAAGTTTCTTTGTCCGACCCTTACTTTTCGAGTTATTCCCCCGTACCGGGACTTTTTGAACACCCTGTATATAATTATATATATAATAATTATTTCCAAAAATAACAATTTTTAAATTTAATGAAGTTTTCTGTCTATTATCGGCTACATTAATATATACATACGATGACACTTCAATAGATTTTTGTTATTTTTCTTCAGTTTCTAAACTTTCTTTATCTTTCTAGATATTTATAATATTTATAATATTTATTGATATATAGTAAGATTTAAGTAGATTTTATTTTAAGAAATTAATTTAAAAAGTTAGCATCACTTCCTTGTGTTAAGGGTAATTATATAACGAAACAGAGCTAAATATCGAGATAAAAAATCTGTCTAATAAAAAAATCATACACCAAACATTCTTCAAATTGTATCTATTAACGTTAATATTTCGATCGACGATACATTCGATAACAATTGTTAGAATTTATATTAATTTTTATTGTACATATATCCATTCATATACAATTACATGCATATACATATTCTTATCAAGGCATTATCGGTTTATACTATCGGTTTATATTATCATTTTCAGGATTTGATTGTTAAAAACATAACGACACTTGAGAAAAATCTTGACAAGGATATAAATAAAAGAATATATATAATTTCTATGACTAATATTTAATAACTGTAAAGAAACAATATTTTTAACCTTTTTATGCTTGTAGTACAAACATTAATAAAACTTTAGTAATATCAGCAAATTTTTGAAAAGAAATTTAAGTTATGATAAAATTGAGAAAAGTTAACTAACCTATCATAAAAAAGAATCAAATCGATAGACAAAATTGTTTTAATAATTGCAAAGAACTACACTTTCGCTTCTACTACTTGCTAAAAGCTGTTATGAATCCTCATTGACTCTTGTTAATCTATATTGATTGATTTACTTTTTGATATGAGTTATGTTTGATATACAAGATGTTTTAAAGAAAAAATAAAAAATAGAGTTTACAATATGAATAAAACTACTTCGCATTGAATATATATCATTTAGGAATGGTTTATATCAAACCGGAATTATTAAGCAAACAAAAAACGAATTGTAATTTTTCGTTTAATTTTATAATTTATATAATTTATCATTAAAAGCACCAGAAACAACCGCTTCAATGATATTTATTTTATAATTCTTTTCGTATGTTATACCTTTTAAAGGATATTTCAATGTTCGAGAAAAATAATCATCATATAGTAAATTTCAAATCTGACCGGAGTCATTCTGATAGTACTGTGAGAAATGAGCGAGAAGTCGATGAAGTTACACTTGCAAATATTTCTATTATCCCAGAATCTATTGGTAAGTTACAAAAAAATGCATCAAACATTAATAACATAATCTATGACGAAAAAATGTAAATATAATTTAAATTTAAGAGAGAGTGGAAATCAAACCTAAAAACATCTTCCAGCAGTGAAAAAAATATAAATTCTATTTTGTCCAAAAAAGAAATAAAAAAACATAATACAAACATAACATTATACATAAAAATTGTCATGATTTAAGGCAAAGTCAATTTTATTAATTTGCTAATTGGTTTTAAAGCAATCGCAAATATTATACTTTTGATTTCTTAAATTACAGGAATATTTCGAAAAGTATTTCTTATTTTATTGAAAGTTATTTATTCGTTTTTGCCACGAATTAACGATTACTTTTCCAAATCTTAAATGACGCAAAAAATTCTTATATTATTTTTTTTAAAGGTTAATATTATGTATTTAATTTCCATATTTTGTAGTTTGCTTTTTTATTTATTTTTTCTCTTTCCTTTACCCTGGTAGAAATTTTGATCAAGCGTTTGTATGGCACTGACCAGAGTGCCACACTGCTACTTACAGTCAGTCAAGTAAGAGCGTGGTCGTGTAAATTTATGAGAAAATTTATTAAATGAAATTTTTATATTTATATATACATTGTACTCAATACAAATAATGTTGCAATTATGTTAATAATGTGTCCAGTCACCACCGGCGTCGATAATTGCCTGGCATCTCCGAGGCATGCTTTCGACTAATTTGACGGCGTATTCTAGTCATCGACATTTTTTGCCACTTTATATCGCTGTATCCACTTCTGTACAAATGCTTTCGACTTTCTCATGTATTTAGCAGCCGCTGATTGCGACATTTTTGCCGCTTTTTGCGACACAGCCTCGTAGCGCGACGCGTATTTAGCACTCATGACGCTTAACGCTCATGAGCTTAACGTGTTTCTCTTCCAAAAAATCAACGACAACTGAATCTTTGTCGACAATGCATCAAGGACAAAGCTTCTCTCTATAGGCTCACGAAGGAATTAGAGCGAAATCTTTTATTACCTGTCGGCAAAGTCGACCACGCTCTTACTTGACTGACTGTAAGGAACTGGCATAACACGCTGAGCCATCCTCCAAATCGTTTTGCCCGCTGGCGCTACGTTGAAATGAATTTTGTGTGGTACTAACATGGCATTAACATAGTCCTAGTAAGAGATTATCATAGGGCAGATGCGGAATTACTGTAGTATAGCATAATATTGCTTTACGAAAAAATACTACTGAACTATTTGACTATTGATAAAAAACTTCCTACACAGCACCAAGTCGCCTAAAAATATTACTAAAACTGGAAAAGAAATTCTGAAATCCAACAAGGAAAAAAATTTGGAATCCCACAAAAAATTCACATTATTAAACATTTTTTTTTAAATTCAGTTTGCCAGAAATTAAACTTAAATTGATAAAGTGATGTTAAGTAGAAAATGTGGTTTACTTGCACACAATCAGAGAGCCATGGCTCTCTGATCGTGAGAGCAGCGTCCTTTTTTTGGCGATACTACTCACAAAAGAAAAAAAATACTTTAGATCTCATGTGTGTACCAGTCCTTTATATACACTTCATAAAAAATTGAATACGAGTTTAGTTAAGTCTGGTGTCGCCGTATTGCGGCAAGTAAAGAAACACATGTCGTATATTGTGTTCTTTTAATGTTATCTTTTTTGATAAAACGAAAAGATGTCTGAGTATTTGATGTGGCGCAAGTATGGACCGCATCAGAAGCCCAGTCAAATTCCAATCTGCGCTCGTTTAACTTTATAATAATATTACGCCATTTATATATCGGCCGCGACCATAGTTTTGGAGTGGATCTTTTCAGTTTTTGAAAATAAGGTTGTGACGTAACAAACTTCCATTGCGTTGACAAGTATTATGGCGCCGGCAAGGCAATTTCTGCCAGGGTATTTTCACATTAAATTGTTCTTTCTGATTTACTGAAATAATCTATTTAATCTTACATATATTTATGTTACGATCTTAAAATCTTTAGAAAACAGTTTAAACAAGCCAACATCTCTCAGAGCATTTGTACAATTCGACAGTCAATTCACAGAAAAAGTAAACGACATTTTTGTGACATTGAGGTAAAGAATCTAAATTTTCAGTTTGTATTCTTTTATTTTTCTCTCTTTTTCTTTCTAAATTCAAGGATATATCTATATCAAAATGTTAATTCTGTTATAATTTTGTTAAATATAAAATGACTAAAATTTTATCTTTTTACAGATGGAAGCAACCTGAATTTACCGAAATAATACAAGGGTACACAGTGCAATGTTTTGTTATGGAGGACTTAAAAGAGATTCAAATCTGCGACGATAAAAATATCACAACATTGGAGCACACGGTGCACAATCTTAAACCTAATACGACATATTATTTCCGAATACGTGCACATACTGAAGTTATTGCTGGTCTTTACACGGATTTCATCAATGTGTCGACTACGCATGAAAATCCAATACCCAAATTATTATTAGTAACGGATGCTGGCATCCAAATATTGGACTTAGATTCAAATACTATTAATAATCTCATTAAACAATTGGCCATATCAGATGTCGCTTATTGTGTCCAAGAACATAAAATTTATTGGATAACCGGAAATGATCTAATGACATTGGAGATTACTGAAAATAATATCACAAAAATAGCTAGCTTTCATAAGCTAGATCATAAGCTATATTATCTCAGCTTTGACTGGGTAGCAAGAAATCTATATATGTCCTATCAAGGGCCAGTCCGCTCTTTCATTGTAAAGTTCGACTTAACAATGTGGGAAAATGGCATAATTAAATTTGAGAATATTTTGGGAAATATGAATGAAATTTATAATTTAAATATATTACCGTCTATGGGGTACGTTTACTACCGTTCACCTAAAAAAATAATTTTGCATTAAAGATTTATGCAAATTTGTAATTTTTTTATAATTTTACGTGGTTTTATAATTAAGATTATAAGTAAAAGATAATAATAAGTTATTATATAATTATAAGAATTTCGAATTTTTACTACATATAAGTTTCTGTTTTTGTTAAAATAATGTTTTATAATGAGTAAAATAATTATATTTAATTTATATTTAATTTAATTATATTTAATTATAATTATATTTTTTAGAATTTTATATTACACATTATACAATTTGATGCTTAGAAACTATGAAATGATAAAATATCATTTCCATGGAAACAAGCAAATTGATGTTATAAATCCTCCCTCTTTCAAATTTCATAATATACTTTCTTTTAACAATGTGATAATTGATAACATGAATAATGAAGAGTCGTTAATTTACTGGTTAGAAAATTGGAGTACAATTGTAACAGACATTAATATTTCTAAGATCAATAACTTTTTATCCAATCAAGACATAAGTGATGACATCAAATTCCAATCTATGACGATTGACAAAACAAACATTTACATTTTAGCATGTTATTTTCCGTATTCATGCTCTGTATTTACACTCTACGTTTTGGAAAAGAAATATGCAAGTCTCAAGAGCGTCTCAAATGCATACAAATATGTTAAAAAGATACCAATAAGCTTAGATGAAAATGTGTTTTATAAAAAAATTTACGCTTTTGATAAATATTCACAATCATATCCTCCAATGAGATGTCTGACACCTGACGAAAAAGTTTATAATTTTGAGAATGTGACTGCAACGGCAAACAGCATCATTGTAAATTTACAGGAGCCGGTTGTAAAGAGTGGATGCAAAAAATATAATTTACCAACCACTATATATACTATCTCAATAAGCCATTGTGTAGACGACAATCTCAACAAGTCTAAAGAATTCAATGTGAAGACAGCCGAGCGATATTACAAGTTTCAGAAGTTAACACCATTTACAGAGTACAACTTGAACTTTACTTTAAGCAATTTTTACTTTGATCAATTATCAATAAATCCATTCGATTCGAATGTGATACGAATAAAAACTAATTTGGGCAAACTTAATGTACCAGAAAATGTAAGTGTTTTAGCTTTGACGCCTACTATAACAGTAGTTCATTGGATGCCACCCAAGAAATTGAACTGCGTGGTTGTGACCTACGAAGTGCATTGGAAGTCAGTGAACGACACGCAACAGCAGAGTAAATAATTTACCAATGTGTCGAAACGTATGGCAGACGGCAGATTTTTCACAAAGATTAACTTGTCGCTACCAGTACAAGATTACTTGATATACGTGCGTGTATATCCAATTAATTTCAGCGATTTCTACAACGAGAGTTTAAGCAAGATCGATCACATATACTCAGAACCAAACAATATTACTTTGAGCGAAGTCAACACAAATAGCATGGACATTTCATGGATCTCAAACGTTAATCTTACGGTCTTTCCTACACTAGAGTACAAAGATATTGCAGCAGAAAAATGGCAAACAACGAAGTATATTAAAACGAATGATAACAAAGAAAGAAATATTAACAAAGAAATAATATATCATATCGAAAATTTACAGTCGGAAACTTTATACAAGTTTCGCTTGATATTGATATATCCCGAATATGAGGAAACTTTTACATGGCCGGCTGATGAAAGATTTATTTTTTCAACACTTGGTAAGCAAATGAATATACCGACACAGCACAATAAGGTTGCAGATATAGTGAAGAATAATTTCATTAAAACATTGCAATATTGCAAATTGATTGCAAAATTCTGCAGAGTCATTGTTATAAGATTGTGATGAAGTTAATATGTCCACTTTTTACAATAAAGTATTGTAGCAACATTGCATAATATATTTGAAAGAATCTAATGTTATTGGAATCATCTAACAATATTACATATAAAATATTTTTATTTCTGACAGACGAATATCTTGGAAACTTTATAATTAAATTAAGAAGCTTGATATATTAGAAACTTAATATAAATAAAAGCTTTATATAATAGCTTATAAATAAAAGTTTGCATTGGCTTCATATCTATGATGCAATATTTGCAATAATTAACAAGAAATAAATTAAAGAAAATCGGCCGTGAAGAAAATCTGCGCGAATAGAAGCGCGCGGCGACGAAGGCGGTCACACGGTAACATAATGCCGGCGCGCGTTGAAGCGGTGATTGGGGAGAGGAGGAGCGATATGTGTGTAGACGCGCGGCGAAGGCCTTCGCCGCCGAGCGCTTTTATTCACGAAGATTGGCCGATTTTCTTTAATTTATTTCTTGTTAATTATTGCGAATATTGCATAACTGTACAAAACTTTTCTTCTAATTTTGAGCTAATCTACCTTAATTTTTTAAAGTTATGCTCACTTTCATGACACCCTGTACACAAATATAAAAAAATATATTATTACATTACTTTTATAGATTAATTGAAGAGTGTTCTAGTTTTACAATGTTTTCAAAATATAAATATCATACCGCTAATGTTTAATTCATATTAATTTATATTTCTACAGTGTTGCATTGCAATTTTCAATAATGCAAGATTGTTGCAAAGTAGTTGTAATATTTTGTGCTACATAAATATTATAATATAATGTGCTGATTTTTTAAAAATATGAATAGGCCTAAAATTTAAAAAAATTAAAGTTTTGAAATAAAATTATAAGTAGAAATATGTTTTGAAATTAAACACATACACGAAGATATTAAAATTATATTTTTGCTTAATATAGGTGACATTGATATGAATTCGAGCATTCATGGTAAATATTACCTACCATTGATATTAAGTTTTATTGTTATACTTATTATAACCTACATCTGTTACATTTATTATTGTAAGTATATTATTGTAAGTATATTGATATTTGTATATTTGATATAGATATATCAACTTGAATTGTAGATTATACATATATATCTGATATAATATCTAAAATTTACTGAAAATAGTAATTTACTTATATAAAACTAAATTTAAAATAATAAATTTACTAAAAAACAGTAAATTTTATAATACATATTACATAATTAAGTCGAAATTTTATAACAGTGTATCGTCAACGCAGAGGTAATAATGAACAGTTTTTGTCTTCAACAATGACTGATATAGAATTGGAGAGTCTACATGAGTGGCAAGTAGCTTGCCAAAACACTCAATTCAATACGATTTACAGTCCTATGTTACATTATAATCCGGATGAATGTGCGATAACTAAAATAGCACGTAAACAAATTAGATTTACAAAACATATTGGTAGCGGCGCATTCGGAATGGTAAAAATTAATTTTTTCAAGCAATGTTTCAAATTAATTTTTGGATCAACAAAACAGATATGTATTTTTTAATAAAAATATAAGTTACATAAATTTTCATAATAGATTATAAGTAATATAAAATTTGGATGAGACAACATTCACTTTATTATATATTTTCCGTTAAATTATTCAATATAAAGTAAAATATAATATTACGTGACATTAAACTATACATTTTCTAGTGAAGTACGCATGTAAATTTATGTGAAATATTTCGCAGGTGTATCAAGGAAATGTGAAAAACTTAGAAAGTTCGAGCACAGAGATATCCGTTGCAATAAAAACGCTTCGGAAAAATGCTTCTTCCCAAGAGAAAAATAAATTGTTAAAGGAAGCCGAGCTTATGAATCGTTTTAGACACAAACATATATTAAAATTGTTGGGCGTTTGTTTAGATGGGGATCTTCCGTTATTAGTGTTGGAATTGATGGAAATTGGAGATCTGTTAAAATATTTGAGAGATTGTCGAAATTTGGAAGCGTCAGATTCACACGCTCTGCGTTTGCAGGATTTATTTGCCATGTGCGAAGATGTTGCGCGAGGCTGTTGCTACTTGGAAAAGTTGCGTTTCGTACATAGAGATCTAGCGTGTCGCAATTGTTTAGTATCTTCAAGAAATCGCGAGAATCGTGTCATTAAAATTGGAGATTTTGGACTAGCTAGAGATATCTATATGGATGATTATTATCGCGTGGTAAATATAATTATTAAAAAAAGTTAATGATTAAAAAATGAATTCTTTTTAAAATACTTTTTATTTTTTTGTCATAATAGTATCGTGCATTGTTTCTTCAAGTAATATAGAATATAAATAGTTTTTATTTATATATAGCAAGAGATAACGTTTTTCTGTTGGCACATATTGTAAAAATGAACAACTTGAACCAGAAAATTAAATTTTTGTTAAAATCATGTTTTAGAAAGGAGAAGGTTTGCTTCCTGTTCGCTGGATGGCACCCGAATCTTTAATGACCGGAATATTTATTTCTCAAAGCGATGTTTGGTCATTTGGTGTTTTAATGTGGGAAATTACTTCGTTGGGTGAACAACCTTATGCTGCCAAGACTAATGAAGAAGTGATAAATTATGTACGTGCTGGAGGCAGATTGTCGATGCCTCTTAACTGTCCGTCAGCATTGTACCAGTTGATGCTACGTTGCTGGAGTGCAGCGAATGCCAGACCAAATTTCGAATTTTGTCTGAAAAATATTATAGCATTAAGAAAGAACATAGAAGATGCCTTACTGAGTCCAGTCGACATTCTTTAGCCGATATAATTAAATTAATGTTTATCTTCTTTTCCAAATGATTCGATAAATCTTAATGTAGGAAAAATATATAGATGTCGCAAAATATTGTAAATGTCTCTTCTTTTATATAAAATATAAAAAATTTATATGTACCATTCTATTATAGCCCTTATTTATATATTTTTATCATAATTTTGATATCAGTATAATATTTTTAAGCTTAATGTGCTTTATATAATTAAATTATAAAATTTAATATAATTACAAAATAGTATTAATATTAATAAGTAGGTATGTACAGGTAGGTTGTATGTACAGTCTTTTAATTTCTAATCATTTCCAATCGCATTTCTATCCAATATATTTTCTCCTTTGAGTTCTTGGATTGTTATTATGGTTTATTTTATTCCTTTGTGTTAATATCTCATAAAGATTATCATCACTTATTATGCTTATTGCTTCCTACGGAGTTCTTCGGAATATTTAAATCACTCACGTTTAAGATATATTTAAATCACTGTAATTGCTTTTTATCTGTTTTCTCGATTTATCTGTCTCTTTTTTTTCATTTTATTTAAAAATATTAATGTAATTAATATATAACACACACACACACACACACACACACACACACACACACACACACACACACACACATATATATATATATATATATATATATATATATATAATTTCGGTTTATCTTTCTTAGTCTGATTTTTCCCCTTCGACCTGTCCGGCATGCGTAACTCTACCAGTAACTACGGCTTTTTAATTCACTCTTATATTTAAGATCGTCTTAAGTAAGAAAGAGTTAAGTAAGTTGAAAAATGTTGTACAACTATTTTAATAACTGAACAAAATATTAAGACGCAATCTAAGAATATATTTAAATGATCTTAAATATAAGAATAATCTATACAAATATCGGCGTACATTACCGCCGGCATTGGTCTCAGGTTCACGAGAGTATGCAAACCTCCTCACCTGGCTAATGTCTCCGTTAAGATGGAGATACACTGAGGAGGAAAAATTTTTTTTTAATTTTATTTTTGTTTTCTTTCAATACATTTTATTTTCTTTTAATACAAAAGTGAATTTAAAATACAGGGTGAGGCATCTAAAACAGGCCACCCGAATAACTCCGTTGGTAAGCCGAATACAAAAAAATTGTTCAGACAAAAGTTGTATGGTTTCAAGGGGGACATATGATGGTGTCATTAGTTTAATCTTGAAGAGCCACCCGAAGGTCACGTGAAGGTTAGCTCCAACTTTTTAAATGGGACACCTTATATGCTTTTGCATATTCTTGTAGCTCATCTCAAGAACTTTCCAAAACACTACAATTATGTTAGTTTTCATTAAATACTTTCCAAGTTATGAGGCTTGAAATCATTTTTTAATTTTACATAAACCGTAAAATATCTTGTAAAATATTCATTTTTCGATTATTTTACCTTAATACTTTTATGTACAAAATAATGAGAAGAATCAATTGGTGTAAAGAAAACACATAATTGCTTCGAACAAAAAAATGTAATTGTTAATTGCAAATTACATTTTTTTGTTCGAAGCAATTATGTGTTTTCTTTACACCAATTGATTCTTCTCATTATTTTGTACATAAAAGTATTAAGGTAAAATAATCGAAAAATGAATATTTTACAAAATATTTTACGGTTTATGTAAAATTAAAAAATGATTTCAAGCCTCATAACTTGGAAAGTATTTAATGAAAACTAACATAATTGTAGTGTTTTGGAAAGCTCTTGAGATGAGCTACAAGAATATGCAAAAGCATATAAGGTGTCCCATTTAAAAAGTTGGAGCTGACCTTCACGTGACCTTCGGGTGGCTATTCAAGATTAAACTAATGACACCATCATATGTCCCCCTTGAAACCATACAACTTTTGTCTGAACAATTTTTTTGTATTCGGCTTACCAACGGAGTTATTCAGGTGGCCTGTTTTAGATGCCTCACCCTGTATAATTTGAAACTTAATACAAAATAAGTTATTATATAGAATATTTATTACGCGAAAATGTCCAAAATATACGTATAATATGAAATTTAGTAAAAATTTTTATATAATTTAGACAAGCCTGATAAGAGATGATTAATTACGCGATATTTATCATTAATAATCGATATGCAATAATAGACTTTAATAAGTTTTATGTAACGTAATCGTGATCAAAAGAGTCATTAATAAAATTATTGATCATTTCTTCTTGATTGTAGAAGAAAGTATTTACATTACTGGCGCCTTTTGTGTAGATTATCAAAGAAAATATTCAAAACGCGAAAAAATAAAATGAGCTTCGATGTAAATCAACAATTAAATTACAAAATAAATCGCGATTTAAAATTTGCGAAAAAACGCGACAAATAAATCGATAATATTCAAAATATTCATATTGCGTATAATTTTTATAATATAATAATCGAAGCCATGAAATATGCGGGTAACAAATCGGTAATAAAAAGAGGAGCGATTTTAAAAATGGAGAAAGATTAACATCTTGTTTCTATATCAGATTTCGCAAGATCAATCTAAGAAAAATTAAGTGATCCATTGAACGTCGGGAACTTTACTGTAGGAGGAAACGAATCCCGGATCTTCCGGACTATTCCCAATAGCAATGATTTCAATAATAAATCAATGACAATTATCCCTCATCATTATTTTCAATTCACGAAATTGATATTCATGTCAGAAAACATGTTCTTTCATTATTAAGAAATATATTTCTTTATTGAAAATTAAGTGGATATAACAATTTTTTATAGAAATATGATTACGAACGATTTATAAATAATATTATAAATAATAAAATCCATGCATCATTAGAGTTTATGTTGAATGTGCGAATACATAATAATTTTCGGGTACCTTTTTACGCGCGCGAGACGAATCGAATCCGATAACAGGAAAATTTAAAATTTCAATTGAAATAGTTTGCAAAAAATAAATCAAATAATTGTAAATAATTTTAATTCTAGAATAATTCTCTAAATTCTTATTCTTATAACGTTTAAATTAATAATTTTTTTTCTTTTAATCAATATCTTACTGATACAGGGGTACCTATTCGATTTGTCTCGAAATTTTTAGATATTCGCACATTTTATATAACATTCATATATCATTTCGCATATATATAATATACATATAATATTAATAAAAATTATAAAAATATTTTAGATACGTTAATTTCTGCATATATTTTATATTATGCATACATATATAAAAATGGCATATATTTAAAAACTAATGTTCTAAAATGGTGATGGATGTCCAATACCTGTAAATAGTTTCTTAAAAGAAACTAAAAACTAACATTAATATTTCCAGTATTTAGAAATAATCTTTCAAAAAGGATAAATTATATTAATTAATAAAATATATTCGTTTGTAATCATTTTTCTCAAAAAAGTTAATAAAACCTAATTACAATATGCAATTACTTGAAGAATCGAAATTTATACACAACACTATATCCATATTTAATCTACTAATAAATCTTTCTGGCATTAGACAATAATAATACCAATCCGAATAATGATAGAACATTTTTTACGAAGAAAAGAAAAGATACATTTCTCTCATCTAAATATATATTATTTAAATTTATTCGACGTTAAAGAAGAGTATCGCCGTTGAATTACTACCGAAATCATTGCTTTCGGAAATTGCCAGGAAAACCTGGGATTAGTTCCTTCAATCTTACAATAAAAATTCCCAATTTTTCAATAGGATACCAAACTAGACGTCGCGAATAGATTTCACAAGAACCAGTAAGAAATAATTCTCCATGATGAAAATCATTCGACTCCTCGGCGAGCCACGCAACTTTCATTAACATTTACTTAACGGAAGGAACAATGATAACTTTTTTACTAAAACGACAATCTCGTCTAGGAACGCACAAAAAAACGCGAGGAAAATACGGTGTTTTCGCAACGTAATTTATTAATTTATTTATGAATATTTTCCGATACGAAAAAAAAATTCGTAAATATAAATATAACAAAAAATATAAATTATCAAATTCATAATAATTAACTCGCGATTCTATAATATCGAAGGTGATCGTTCAATTTTGTAAAGCTAATATTTAATCACATATTTCACATATTTTAATGTTCCATATGTGAAGAACATATCAGAACGTTTCCGATACTGCGTTAGAGATCTTGATGTTAGGCTTTCTTACGGAATAAACAATTTGCGCAGATTTATTAAAATCGGCAAGGACGGTTTACGGAAGGATTCGCGTAGTAATATAGTGTATAAAATTAATTGCACAGATTGCGACGCCTCTTACGTAGGACAAACGGGTCGCCTGTTAAAGACGAGGATTAAAGAACATAGAAGGAATCTTACGTCCGTCATTGCCGAACATAGAGCGCTTAATCACACTTTTGATTTCGATGATGTTGAGATTTTGGATGAAGAAATGTTTTTAGGAAAAAGACTAATGTCGGAAATGATTCATATTAAGCGCCAAAAGAAGGCGTTGAACCTCCAAAGCGACACTTTAAAATTGAATACTTCGTGTCTGTCGATAATTGAAAACATGCCTAAAATTTAACGGGTTGTTTTTCTGTTTTACTGGCTTTGTCCTCGTTATATTTAGTTTGTTATTGCCGATCACACTATGACATGATTATCGTTACCGTTCAAATTATCGGCCCATTCGACTGTTATCGTGTCGATTATTTCGTGTCGTTTTTGCTGATTCGTCTCTTGTCTGAGTGAGTGAGTGGCCTTTGACTAACGTTAATGAATTTCTCTCGCTTTTAAGACGTGTTTTGACTAGTTTTGATTATATTTATTTTGTCAGTGCATCGCTCTTCGCGCTTTGTACCGCTGAGAGGGCTTTTGCATCGTGCTTTCTCGGATGGATCAGCCTTGACGAAGTTGTGTCGCACTTATAGACCATGCATTCATGTGACTATGCTTTCTCCTCTCTTTTGTATTTTATTGATATTGCGTTTCTATTTTGTTCTCATTTGATTTATGTATTTTTTCTTTGTTTTTATTAGAATCACTGAAGAAGGCTCCAATTGAGTCCGAAACGTTTGGAAT